AATATCGCACAATGGAGCACTTATTCCAGTGAAATATGCCATGCAGTTGGCAATTACGATCGAGTCGATAATTGATGCGAATAAGGTAAACAATCCTGGCAGAGCATGGAGCACTGTCTCAACAATTAATACGTAAATGGCTATTCGCGTCGCCTGAAGGTTAAGCATTTCTGTAAGGAAAAAGAATCCAAAATTGCTTAGAATTTGAGATTGGCATGTTTTTTTTTTTTTGTGAAAGGTCTGTAATGCTCGCGGGGGCTTAGTTCTTAGTTTGGTTCTCCAGCTATGCAACTTTATTTGATTGGTCCGCGAGATTAACAAGCTAGTGACGTCAAGGTCACTAGCTTGACGTCCACTTCATCTTCACGCGGGATTATCCGTTCAGCGGCTCTCCCTACAGAACCATTTAGCGAGGTTTTAGCCACTTCGAGATTTTTTTGCACCATCCTAAAGTACGCCTTTAATATGACGCTTGTTGACCAGCTTGGCAATCATGTTGTTTATGTTGTCAAACTGATCAACAAGCAGTGCTTTGACTAAGGGCGCAATAAGCTTTTCTATGCATAAAAGTAGAGACGCACAACAATGGGGCGTCATAAATGAGGAAAACAGCTAAAAAAACGACTTCCTGTAAAGAAAACAAGAAGGAAGCAAGCGCTCAAGGTATTTCTGGATGGCTGGAAATTATATTCCTTTGCAGACGAAGAACATACAGGATGTTTGTTACGGTCGTAAAAATAGAAGGTATGGTCCACTGAGTAAGGCGCACTACTTATCTAATTAACATTTGTCAAATCGTTTGTCAGCGAATGCTATCAGCGATGCAAAAAAAAAAAAAAAACCACTCGGATAATCTTAATGTAGGTTACAAGGACAGGGGCGGGAACAGTAAAATCGGTCTGCAGTACTAAAGGTCGGGGTTTCAGCTCTGCCAGTGGCGCAACCAATCGCTTTGCGACTCTTTCATTTAAGAAGTTTTGAAGCCACAGTCTTGAATTTATGTATGCTTAATAAATGACTATGCATGAGACAAGCAAAAATTGGCCTCCATATTTTATCCTGGCTTACAAAAAACAGTTCCTCGATGAAAAATTGGTACTAGCTCTTGCCGAGGAATCAAAATCATTATTCATTTGCTTCTAATCAATCTCCGAAAGACGGAGCCTGCCAACAGCCTTGTCAACAAGCGGTTACTTTTGGTGCATACTACCGTTCCGGCTATTTTTTGGGCACCCCGATTTCTCACAGAAAGTAAATTACAGTGTTGATTTCGACTTTGACTTTTGAGGTGTTAAATATGACAGCTATCAACAGAAAATGCTTTGGCCAAGAAAATCGGCCTGGACGTGGCAAGTGGCTGTATTCCTGAGAAGCCGTGAGTTTATCTCAGTTAGTGTCGCGGATACCCGCGAAAAGCTGAATGTGAAAATGAGAGGTTCGGTCATCTTCCAGCCCATGCTTTTATTTTACAAAGAAAATGAGTTTCGTTCACGGCAGTCAGACTATTTTGCAAAAATAGATACTCCACCGCTCGATAATTGTTTTTTTCATAAGTCGAAATGCCGATTCCTCCAAGCTGATTTGAAACTTTATTGTTTCGTCCAAATAGTCGACGGATTTTGACAAGAACAAAACCCGTTAGGGCAACTGTTAGCACATTAAAGATCGTCTTCGACATACTCCAGTACATTTGAAAAGCCTGTAATTCATAATTATCTCAAACTCCAAACAGAAATTTTTTAAACCCAGGCTGGAACGCAACAGGCGGGCCGGTGCGATTATGCGTTTTTGCGCTTTTCGTATCTTAGCAAAATCGGAAGGAGTCAATGTAGCTAACCCCGAGAAATACTGGCCCTCGAAGTTCGGAAGTTAATTGTGCAGCTATGTGGTATGTCAGTTGTAGGTG